TCACCTCAGCCTCCCAAAGGCGCGGGATTACAGGCTGAGCCACTGAGCCCGGCTAAGCCTCATCTTTCTTGATCTATTCAGATAGTGTAGTTGACTCAGTAATCAGGCTGCACTATGCTTCCATCATAGTTGGGACCATGGCCAGTGTGACAAAGTGGGCCCAGACCCTGCAAGACTGAGCAGAAGCAGGGCCTCTGGACTAAATCAGCATTGTCCAACCATTTACAGTATCCACCCTGGCCTGGTACTAGTCTATTGCCATCAAAGTTCCTAGAAAACAGCATTTTTCTGATGTACTTTATAGAATTTCAAGATTGCATCAGAAGTTAAGCACACTATTTAAAGAAAAGTTGACTAGGTGCAATGTCTTACACCTGCTATCTTAGCACTTTGGGAGACTGAGGCAGGAAAATTGCTTGAAGCCAGGGGTTCGAGACTAGTCAGAGCAACATAATGAGATTCTACAAATGAAAATAAGCATTTTCGGGTCCAGTAAGTTTGGAAAATGCTATATAACTGCCTTTCAAACTCTTATGTGCAGTTAAATGCATTGAGAATTGTCACAGTGAAGAAATCTATTGAACTTTGGTCATTATAGCACGTCCTAGGTTTACTAAACTAGAGCACTCTTTTTTGAGCAGTACCTATAAATGTCCCATGGCTCTTCTGTTTCTCGCCTTCCTCTTTTTCCTTCAAGTGACTAACCTCCAAAAGAGGTACATGCCTCCCAAACATATTGAGACAGGTAAGCTCTGGACACTTATGTGCCCACATAACATTTCACTCTTTGCTTTATGATTTTATTAGCTGAGGTTCTGTTTGTGTGTTTGTTGACTGATTTGTTCTTTCATCCCTTGTAGCCTAATGCATGGAAAGTTAATAGAATGGAACACAAGTCAGGATCCTTTTCCTGCAGCCGGGATTCTGCTTTTACCAGTCCAGTCTCTGTTACCAAACCAGTGATATTGGCTGGTGGTACAGCTCTAAGTTCTCCCAAAGAGGTGAGTGAGGATAAAGCAGCGCAGACTTTTCTAAAGTTGCCGTTTCTCATTTATTTTAACAAATATACAGTATAACATGTTTAGCTATAATGCCATTTCATTTATATCTATGCTCAGAGTGGTTTCTGGCGGGTAGGGGCAGGGTTGAGAAAGCAGGAGTTTATTAAGACAGAAAAGCTCCCAAGCCGGAGGGGACCCAAAAGAGGGTTGCCCCAGAGTGTTTTCATAATTGATGTTTTCTGTTGGCATACAAAAGTGTGGGCAGTGACTGGGTAGGATAAATGCTCTCTCGTGGACCGAGGTCGTCCTCTGTTAGACTGGCGTTCTGCTGGTGTCTTCAGACAGATCAAAGAGGTGCTATGTAAGCCAGCCAGTCTTAATTATACAAACCCTGCATAACTGAAGTCTGTGTAAATAAAGGGATTGTTTGGTAAGAGGCAGAGTAGAGTGATAGACTACTAGACTCTCAAAATCAGTGCCCTGTAGAAGTGAACCAGAGAATCCCAGTTCTTGCTCTTTGCTGTCAGGAGCAACCTATTTATGGTATTTGCCCAGAGTCCCTCCAGCACCACCCCTCCAATTGAGATCAGCTCCTCTCGTCTGACCAAATTGACCCGCCGAACCACTGACAGGAAGAGTGAGTTCCTGAAGACTCTGAAAGATGACCGGAATGGAGACTTCTCAGAGAACAGAGACTGTGACAAATTGGAGGATGTAAGAGCACAGGGTTTTTCTGGGGCAACATAGGCATCTTCCTTTGTTATATATGTGCTTTCTTCTTCTTAAAAGATATGGTAAGATTTTTAAATGTACAGAGATATTATCTGTAGGAGTAGCAAACAGCCTTTTAGAGCCTCTAGTAGAGTGAGTTTAGTCCTTTGTTCAGCAAAGGTACGGAAGGACATATTGATTGCTTCCAAGTGTTGACGTTAAGAATCAAGTTGCAGCCGGGCTCGGTGGTTCAGCCTGTAATCCCGTGCCTTTGGGAGGCTGAGGTGAGTGGATGGCCTGAGCCCGCGGGTTCGAGACCCACCTGTGCAGCGAGACCTCATCTCTACAATAAATTAAAAAATCAGCCGGGCGTGGTAACGCATGCCTGTAATTCCGGCTACTTGGAAGGCTGAGGCGGAAGGATCGCTGGAGCCCAGCCGGTCGAGGCTGCGGTGGCCAGGAGCGGCCACTGCACTCCAGTCTGGGCAACAGAGTGAGACTCCAACTCAAAAAAAAAAAAAAATCAAGTTGCTGTGAACATCCATGTGTAGGTTTTTGTGTTGCCATAAGTTATCAGCTCCTTTAGGTAAATACTAAGGAGCACACTTGCTGTATTATATGATACGAGCATGTTTAGTTTGTTAAGAAACCACTAAATTGTCTTCCAAAGTGAATGTACCATCTTGCGTTCCCACCAGCAATGAATGAGAATTCCTATGGCTCCACATCCTCACTAGCTTGTTGATATTACCCGTTTTCTGGATTTTGGCCCTTCTCATAGTTGTGTAATTGTAATTTGCATTTCTGTAATGACATGATGTACAGCATCCATCTATATTTTCTTCGATGATGTGTCTGTTCAGGTCTTCTGCCCATTTTTTAAATGAGGTTGTTTTCTTACTGAGTTTTAAGAGTTGTTTGTTTATGTTTTGTGTTTTACATTTAAGTCTGTGACCTATTTTGAATTCATTTTTGTGAAGGGTGTAAGGTGTTTGTTTAGGTTTTGTTTTGGTTTTGGTTTTTTTTGCATGTGGCTGTCCAGTTCTGTTATCGTTTGTTAAAAAGACTCTTTTCTCCATTGTGTTACCTTTGCTCCTGTGTTCAAAGATCAGTTGACTATTTATGTGGATCTATTTCTGAGCTCTATTCTGTTCCATTAAACTATTTGTGTATTCTTTTACTAAGACTACACTTTTTTTTACACCTCTTGTGAACACTTCTTAACACTCTCTTTTAATTACCTTAGCTTTTATAGTAAGTCTTAATGTTGGGTCATGTTAGCCCTTTGACTTTGTTTTTCTCCTTCAGTATTGTGGTAGCTGTTCTGGATATTTTGCCTTTCCATATAAATTTTAGAATAGATTTGTTGCTATAGCAGGTCCTTATAAGTGGAGGAAATCTATGGGCTGAGGCTGTCTTTTGGAAAGTACTTTCCTGAGTTCTGACTCCTTGATTTTGTATGTTGCTTATCTTGCCACAAAAGAACCTTAAACCAAATCCGTCCTTCTTTTTCCTTATTGCAGTTGGAGGACAACAGCACATCTGAACCAAAGGAAAATGGAGAGGAAGGCTGTCACCAGAATGGTCTTGCTCTCCCAATAGTGGAAGAAGGAGAGGTTCTCTCACACTCTCTGGAAGCAGAGCACAGGTGAGTGAGGAGACCATCACAGGACATGCGGTGTATGACCCATAAGGACTGTGTTCATACTTCTGAAGACATGCCAGTCAGAGTCTGGTATACAGAGAGAAGTGCCCCTTCATCATAACATGTTCTCTCTGTATGCCCCCAGGTTGGCCTGTTGATTACCAGGCATTCTTTCACAGACTTGGCCAACTTTTTTATAATCTCCTCTCCAAGGCTTTCATATATTTTTTAAATTTCAGACCCAGTTTTTGGTTGCACTTCTTTCTCACCCCTCTCCCCCGCCCCCTTTTTTTCTTTTTGAGTGGAGTCTCTGACACCCAGGCTGGAGTGCAGTGGCACAATCACGGCTTACCACAGCCTTGACCTCCTGGACTCAAGCAATCCTCCTGCCTCAGCCTCCCTTGTAACTAGGACAACAGACATGCGCTGCCACACACAACTAATTTCTTTTTTAGAAGTGAAGTCTTGCTTTGTGGCTCATTCTGGTCTCAATTGACTGGCCTCAAAGACCCTTTCACCTTAGCCTCCCAAAGTGATGGGATATTAGGGATTTCTTCCTCTGTTTTGGTCTATGAGACAGAGCGCCCTTGTAGTTAGGCCTTCTTTATGCTGTCTTGGTTTCTGCTTCTACTCTCTTCTGTAGCTCTTATTCTCTCAACTGTGGAGAGCCTTCATTTAATTATCAGCACTTGAGTAGCCATAATTAAAGCTTGTCCCACAGGGAAGAACACAGAAGTCCTTCTTTAGCATCTATTACCCTGGGCAGGAAAATGTTCTGGAAAGTGGTAGGCTGCACACTTAGGCTTAATGGTGTCATATTTTCTTTGCCTCTGCCTCCACCAGGTTATTGAAAGCAATGGGATGGCAGGAATATCCTGAAAATGATGAGAATTGCCTTCCCCTCACAGAGGATGAACTCAAAGAATTCCACATGAAGTCAGAACAGGTATGTCATAACCTTTCCTGGAGACCAGTTAATGACTAGGAGAATAAGGAGTCTCAACAGTCATAATTAAATGTGAGAGAAAGACCTTGAAAAGAAAATACAAAGTAAATTACCATAGTAGAAGTGTAAAGGTACATCTAACTCTGCCTGGACAATAGGGATCTCAAGTGGTGGATACAAAAACCAAATTGGTGATTAGTAGATTCCAGGAAGTTGGCATATGTTCTTTCTTCCTAACCCCTTACCAGAACCCCACTAAGCTATATTCCAGAGTAATTGTCTGAACCTCTGTGTTTCAAGAAGCAGGCTTATCTTCCGCTGCTTCCTGCCCTCTACTATAGTTTTCTTCTGGTGCTCTGGCCAGAGCTAAAAAGCCGTATAGCTTTTGTAAATTCAATGAATGAATGCTTGCATTCTTCTCTGAATAAAACACTGCTAGATCCTACAGTAAGCAAAACAAATGGGGTTTCTACAAACCACCTTGATCTTACTTTCTGGTAGCATATATTTACAGCATAAATTACAGTTGGATAAGTCCTTAAAAGGGACAAAGTACAGGCTGACATATAAGACCTTGCCACTCAGAACTCTCAGAGTCTCAAATTCTACTCCAGACATACTAAATCTGCATTTGTAAAGGATCCTTAGGTGACTAATTTGCACATTAATGTTTAAAAAGCACTGCTGTAAGAGATCTTAGGGGGATCTCTTGGAAGGGCCCCTCTCTGCCCCACTGCCCCCCAGTTTTACCTGGAATCAGTCGAGTCCTGGCCTTTCCCAGGGACCATGGGTCAGTGCAGTTGTTGATGGCTTTCTTTTTTTTTTTTTTTTTCTCTCCCATGCTAACCGCAGCTGAGAAAAAATGGCTTTGGAAAGAATGGCTTCTTGCAGAGCCGCAGTTCTAGCCTGTTCTCCCCTTGGAGAAGCACTTGTAAAGCAGAGTTTGAGGACTTGGACACAGAAACCAGTAGCAGTGAAACATCAGATGACGATGCCTGGAAGTAGGCATATAAATGCTCACAGTTGAATCTGACCCAGTTAACTCTGTTTGTGTAGGGAGTAGTATACAAAAGAAATCGTTCTTTTCCTTTTCCTTTCTTATGTTATTGAATTCTTCATGCACAAGGGAAATAATCATATCCCAAAGAGAGAGCAATTGACTTGTTTAGGTTTTGTTGTTGTTGTTCTCTGTTATCTGCTTAATAGAGAGAAGATTGTGTGGTGGGAAAGATTGTTAAGATGTATGTACACACACACACAGTATATACGGGCGATGCACAGGTGGGAGCTGGCAGTGCAGAGAAGAGGAGACACTGGTCTGCAGCAACAGCTTCTACCAGCCCTTGGGGCACTCACCCCTGTGCTCAAGCAATCATTGTCAATGACAAAGGAACTATTGAAGTTATAATTGTATTAAATTAATGCTAATAATTTGGATATTTTATTTTATTTTTGGCTGCTCGGGTAACTTTAGCCCTTAATTAACCAAGCATATGTGGTTTGTTTTTGTTTTTTCTTTTTCCTTTTTGGGTACAGCTGTAAAATATTTGGATATAGGAAATGTGTTATTCTTGCAGCCTTGATATTCAGGGTGGAGTGTAAAATATAAATTTTTGTGAGATTTCAAAGATTAAGATTATTTTGATAACATTATTTACAGATTGAAAAGATGTGGTTATCACAAGTCTGTTGGGGGGAAACTACTGCATAAAATAACTAACTTGGAATAAATATTTTGCATCAGTTTGGATTGTCTTGTGTAAGAAATATATTTTCCTTAAAATTAGATGAGTGGATTCTTTTTAAGGGGAAATATTTTTAGAAGTTGGGGGGAAATGTTAATTCAGACACACCTGTTTCTTTCTCCTTTCAGCAGATACTTTTTTGATGCAGAGAATCCTGTGCAATAAATTATCGGTAATAAAGTCAGAAACCAAAAAATTTTCCTTCCAGAAACTGTTTTTCAGCGCCCATGTGTTTATCAATGTACATATTTTAAGGGAAGTCTGTTCCTTGGTTTTGCTGCTAAATAAGAACTTAGAGGGCAAAAACCTGAGCCCAATGCTGGCTGGGTGGCCAGTGGAAGAAGCAGGTTTTTTTAATTCAACAGATACTTTCTAAGCCTCTATTGTATGTTACAGACATTGTGTGAGGCCCTGGGAATGCAAGAAGAGCCTGATAGGGAAGAATAAATGGTTTTATTAGAAAAGATGAAACCTTAGGCCAAGATCAAGATCTGATGGACAAGTACAAGTTAAATATTGGCCCTCTTTTTCTGTACCTATAGTAATTAGTCCCTAATGGATATAGGGGACCAAGATCATACTCTAATAGGAGACAATCAGAGAAATAATAAACCTGATTGCATGTTAGAAAGTAACTTGTACAATCAGAGAAATAATAAACCTGATTGCATGTTAGAAAGTAACTTGTGCCGGGCTCGGTGGCTCAGCCTGTAATCCCGCGCCTTTGGGAGGCTGAGGTGAGTGGATTGCCTGAGCCCGCGGGTGCAAGACCTCATCTCTACAATAAATCAAAAAATCAGCCGGGCGTGGTAGCGCATGCCTGTAATTCCGGCTACTTGGAAGGCTGAGGCAGAAGGATCGCCGGAGCCCAGCAGGCGAGGCTGTGGTGGCCAGGAGTGGCCACTGCACTCCAGTCTGGGCGACAGAGTGAGACTCCAACTCAAAAAAGAAAGAAAGAGAGTAACTTGTAGCGTGTACCAGAGGGAGTAGATAGAGGTTAGAGGCAGAGAGAGCTAGATTTTAAAGGCCAGGAAGGCAGGAACCCTGTCTGCCACGGTGTATTTATAGTCCCTACTGGTATTATGAGACATTATGTGCAAACTGTAGCAGTGGCAGTAAGAACTATTAACGTATTTCATTGAATGTAAGATGGCAACTATAAAGGCATTTTGCGTAGTAATACAAAACTTGCCGATTAAAGTATGACACTCCTTTAATTGTGAATACTGATGTGCATCTTGTAATCAGTGAAACACAGATGCACCTCAGTTTACAATGAGGAGGTCCTAATAAATTAAGTTGAAAATACATCAAAAATGCGCTTAATATACCTGATCTACTCAACATCATAGCGTAGCCTCACCTACCTTAAACATGCTCAGAACACTTACATTTAGCCCACATTTGGGCAGAATCATCTGGCAGCACAGTCCACCATAAAGTTTTCAGTGACTGTGTGTGGTTGACTGGGAGCTGCCACTTGCTGCTGCCTAGCATGTCTGTTACTAGCCTGAGAAAAGAAATCCAGTGTACAGTTTCTACTGAATGCATTTCACTTTTGTACCATTCTGAAGTCAAACCATTGAAAGTAGGAATCATATATTGTCACAAAATACAAATTTGGAAGTTGAGAAGTTGATTGAGATTTTATCTTTGCCATTTACTTGTTCTCTCAAAACATAAAAAATGTACTTTTTCTCAGCTGGAATTAAGCTGGACTGAAATAACATACTTTGAAATTCTTTGTAACTTGCTATTACTCTTTACATATTGCATTTGGAGAATTAAACCCCTCTCTTTAGAAAACAGGGATTCATAAGAAATATAAGGCCACTTCAGAGCTCCTGCTTTATAACTTCAGTGTGTATATTTTGAGAAGATTGGGGTTGGGGTGGAGGTTTGACCCGTGGTTAAGGGCCTGTGTGGGCCCCCCCCACCAGGCTTTGAGAAAAACATCTTGATTACCTTATTGATAGATTCACTGTGTCTCCACAGCTTTCATTTCTTGGACTGTGCTAATTATCTCCCTCCCTTTACTCCACTAGGGAGAGACCACTATCCCTGGTGCAACCTGGTTGTGCACAAGCTATGGTTGCTTCCAGAGAGGCATGTTGGTAGCAAGAGCCGATTTTCCGGTCAGGGGAAAGACATGGTTTCCAGGCAGAATGCTAAAAAGGGCAGACTGCCTCCTCTCCCAGGTGTTCTGTGAATTGCAGAATAGCACTAACTGTGTTATGACATTCACTTTCATACAGCAGTGAAAAAGATGACACTTGCCTGTCGGACGCTATTAAATTACCAATGATGGAGTAAGTGCTAAAGGCCCAGCTAGTGCAGGAAGCAGCTGGGTTTTTCCCCTTTATTAATACAGACAGGGAAACCAAGCCCCAGGCTGAGGGTGGTGGCTCACGCCTATAATCCCAGCACTTTGGCAAGCTGAGGTAAGAGGATTCCCAGAGCCCACGGGTTCGAGACCAGCCCAGACAACTTGGTGAGACCTCATCTCTACAATAAATCAAAAAATTAGCCGGGCATGGTGGCAGGTGCCTATAGTTCCAGCTACTTGGAAGGCTGAAACGAAAGGATCGCCTGAGCCCAGCAAGTAGAGGCTGTGGTGGCTGTGAGTGTGCCACTGCACTCCAGCCTGGGACAGAGTGAGAGACTCCAACTCAAAAAAAAAAAAAAAAAAATCCTTGCCCAAGTTCTTGCAATGAAGTAGAACAGACTTTTGTGACACTTTTTCAAGTCTGGCTCCTCCCAAAGGTGGCCAGGGTTTCCCCGCCCATTTTCCTGACCTGAGACCTGTGGTTGCTGCCCAGGGAGCTAAGGCTCCTCCCCAAACAAAACATGAAGCTCTCTTAGACCTAATAGATCTTTCCTCCCTGCCTCTGGCTTTCTGTCTCCTTCATCCTCTGCTTTTCCCCGTCCTCTGTCCCTTCTTCTGCAGGTCTCAACTGGTGTTGGGAAACGGGTCTCATCCATGGACTCCCACCCTGGGGAACCAGGGCTCCTGCTCTGTGAGACCTGTGACATGGCTTTCCACTCCTCCGCCCTGTTAGCCACCCACACTCAGCGCTTCTGCATTGGCCGCCCGACCCAGGAGGTGACACGTGGGGCACAGCTGTCAGAAGCTCCTGAACTACAGGGTGCTGTGGTAAGGGCTTCCTCCGTGGCCATGGGTGGGTAATGCAGCGAGCTGGACCCTCACCATTCCTCTTCCTACGCCTTGTCCCCAGGTTGTGCCACAGGAACTCCACGGCCTCCCAGACCAGGAGGCCAGTAAATCTGCTCTAAAGAGGTTAACACAGGAGGTACACCCACCTGCCTTTCGCCAGGGCTCAAACAGGCAGCGGCCTCCCCAAACCTCGAGATCCTACGTGGGACACGTTGTGCCGTCACAGATCGCGAATCACTGTCACCCCCAGGTGCAGTGGCTGCGGCTGTCCCTGCAGGAAATGCAGCCCTGGAGAGCCGAGGTCCCCGGGGGGCCCACGAGGCCCTGGAGACTCTCGGGGGCGCCGCCCCAGGACCCCGCCCCCGAGGCTGCAGGGAGCCCCGGCGAGCGGCTGCGGGCGCTGTACGGGACTCGTGCGAGGCGCCTGGCGGAGACGGAAGCACAGAGCCGGGCCCTGGAGCGCCGCCGCGAG